TGAAATTTGATGCTTTTTTAAGCTAGGCAGCCTGACCAGAAGCACCAAAGGCGCAGAGCACACCGTCCATCCTCCGGGCCTGGAAAATAATGGTGGGGCTAAATGTTGGGAAACGGGCGGACATCCTTTGTTGACTCGGCCATATTTTATGAGGGAGTCGGGCACTGTTTTCTCATATTTTAATTACTTGCAGAATGCATTGGCCTTTGTGGCCAGTGGACATTTTTTCCATCTAATTTGGCTCCATCCGTGCCGATATATCAGGGGCTCCCCCATTTGTACTCATTTGCGGAGGGGTTCGGGGTCCAAGCTGCAGCTAATGGTGAGTCATGGCTGCAATTGCGCTTAAGCCAAATTGCATTTTGGCCTACTCCCCGCCACCACCACTCGTGCTGACCAGAAAAAACGCAAACAAAAAAAAATTCGAGAAAAGGTCAGAAAATCAATCGGCCCAAAAGCGGCCCGGCCAAGGCAACTAATTCATTTAAATCTAGCAAAATCTGAGAAAATCCCTGGCAACGACCTTCGGGATTTTAAGAGATTTCACGAATGTCAACCGAACGCTTCAGCGCCAAAAGCGAAAGCATCTCGCCGGAGATGGGAGCGGACAGCCGGACGGCCGGACATGGAGGGAAATGCGGACGGAGACCCCCGGCCTTTCCCTTTTCCCCGCAAAAGTCCCGTCCTGGCCACGTTAAGCTAAGCAAGCAAATCACCCGGCCGGCCGCGCAACCCGTGTGAGCTTTTGGCTAAAATAGTTGGCAACACCACATTAAACAATGCTGACACACAGGCAACCATACAGGCAGAAAAAAAAATACTTTTAAAAACACTTAAATTATAATAAAAGATATTAATTTGATACATTTATAAATAGGAAACTAGCAATGAGTTTTTTGACTTTAAAATATATCTTTTTGACTTTATTTCATGTTAAATTCATAAAAATTTTTGGAAATATAATATTCTAAATATTTAAGGATTCAATTTACTGTAATAAAAAAATCAAATTTATATTTTTACAAAGTATTTTCTTTTATTTTTATTCTAATTACTAAAGTAACTTATGTGATTGCATGGCAATTTCCAAAAAAACATCCCATATTCCCACAGTTTTGGTCTAGCCATTAATCGATAATATCTGTCTTTTGTTATACAAAATATATATTAAAATAAAGTAACACTTTTCTTACTCTGTACAAATAGAAAGAGACAAACAAGGAAGACACAGAGAGTGAGAGAGGACCCATAGCCGTTGTGCGTGCGTGAGAAAATGAGGCAACAGCAAAAGTCGCAGAACTTTAGCAATTTGAAGCTAATATGTTGACAATCTAGCCATGGCAGAGCAGAAGAGAAAGCAGACGCGGACGAGGACGAGGACGAGGTCCTTCGCCCAGTGGCACCATCTATGGTTATGTGTATTTAAGTCACTGCCAAAGCCGCGAGAGGAGAACTAGAGGCGGGGACAAAAAGGAGCAGCAGCGTTTGTGATGAGATCCACTAGCCAGGACTGGCTGAGAACCAGACAATGTGTCCAAAAGGATAAAGAATTGATACAGGACTATAGTCTTGTATATAATATAGTGATATAATTAGGGTTTAATAATCTTTTGAAGACTATTCGTTTTACAATTTACAAATTAGTTAGACCTTAAACTTGCCGCGAAACTTTTATGTTTTGTAAGAAGGTTAGCATAAAAATTGTACAGATTTATTTACCATTTCATTACTATGAAATAACTTAATTTTTATAAACTAAAACTGATATTTCTTGCTCACCTCTAGCCTCCTAAATTTTATTGACAAATTTCGGGGTCCGTATGCGTGCTGGTTGTTGGTTCTTCTTACTACTCGTCTCGTATGAGTAACACAAAGCTCCCGAGGATGAGGCGGAAGAATGCGAATGTTGAGGGGCGTGGCTGAATGAGGAATCCGGGGACAACTCGTAAAAAGTGGATTTTACTGCTTAACTCGGGCACATCAAATGAAACAAATGGAAAACGCACACAACGAGCAGAAAACCCAGAGAAAATCGAGACGTGGAATGGGAACGAGAAACACGAGCTTTCCATATAAATTCACTGCATATTCGCTGCCTTTTTTCTGCATAAATAAAATAAAATGCAATATTTTCCGCTGCATTTCCGATGCCGGCGCTGCTGTCTGCACAAATCCCTTGCACAAAAGTCAGCAATCAAAACAGATTAAAATATGATTTGACAGCTCCGAAAACAAATATAAATGCACGAATGCGATCCTGCGCTAGCGATTCCCTTGAAAGTTTCAGCCTCAGCCGATTTCCGTTGGCATTTCGATATTGTTTCCATATTTAACTAGAGCCCCCCGTCAGGGCTTCGGATATATCAGATATATCTTCCTGGAAGCGTAAGCCTCGATTGTGCGATTGCCGCGTGTGCCTGGCATTTTTATCAAAGCGCCGCTGCCGCCTGATGCTCGATGCCTGATGCCTATTAAAAATTTAAATCAATTTTCAATATGGATTCCATGCATCCGAATCGCATATCTTTGGCTGACACTTTTGTTTTATTATTACAATACCCAGCCCAGGCTCACATCCATTTGCGAGTTAAGTTCATATGTCAGTGCTATCTTGAAAATGGATGGCGAAATTCGCGGCTTTTCCCGCTTTATGTTTTATGCCGCCAGCCAATGGGCCTGCACACCTGAACCCGGCAGCAGGTTATTGCAATTATCAGTTAATAAGGGCCGTGGCTAAGCGACTAACTGACTAAGTGACCCCAGATACACCCAGATTTGTGCAATTAGCCGGCCACAGCCTGCATGCATACACCCATCGTTTGCAGCTCACTGAGTGCGTAAGTCGCCAAAGCCCGAAATGCCGGGCAATAATTAAATTATCATTAACGATGGTGGTTTAGCACGGTCCCTTGAACAGCAATTAACAGGGGCGTTGGCAAAAAGGGGGGAGAATGTTGGAGGAATATTAGACAAACTCAAATTTTTGCTTTACTTCAGAGACTTGTTATATGTTTACAATTTTGAGCTGAGAGTGACGTACTTTGTATTGCAATATTTATTCAGAGGTCACTCGGGAGCCTTAAATCTGAGATTGTGTTTGTCCAAATCCCAGAGGAATAGTCTTTGAGGAAGCCTACTCTCACTACATATATCGAGATAAAGCCGACTGGCTCGATCGGAAAAAATACACTTGAATGAGCTAAGCGACATTGTAACACTGCTACTGATCATGGGGATCAGCAAGGGAGTGGCAAAACCAGATTAATCAGAAGATTCCTCTACATATTCCTCATTAGAAGCCATAATTTGAAGAACTTTGATAATCATCTTGGATATTTTAATCACAAAATCTTTGCTGGTGACAACCCTCAGACTCAATTAGTTGAACTACAGCCTTTGTGGACCAAGTCCTTCAATAATAATAATTTCTTAAATATATTGAAATATTCAGATTTTATTTTAAAACATCAAAACAAATATTAATTAAATTTTGAAATACAAATAAAATTATTTAAATATTTTCTGAACCGTTTAACTAATGTAAATAAAAAAGAACGCTATATTTGTTGGATATTCTCAATAAATATTTATTTAATATTTTTATTTCATACAAATTTACCTACTAAAATTTATATAATAAAAATCTCGCATTATTCCCCTGTTTCTTCCCATAGAAAACCCCCGTCGAATGTTTGGCCAACTCATTCCCTAAAAATGCAAAAGTCCCGCCGCAAATCACAGATTTGTGCACTCTGGACTAACAAATTGGTAAAATTGGGAAAATATGAAAGCTAAAACCGAAATGCCGCTAAATGGGCTCGAAATGTAATTGCATTTGCATTCGCAGCGAGCACAACTGTACCCGGGAGCCCAAGTGAGGCTGTGTTCGCTGTGCAAATCCACGCAAAATACCAAAATTCCTGCCGGGTTGGACCCAAATCGGAGTGGAGCGGGCTGAAGTGTGCTTAAATTCTCATTAGACGCATTAGTGGCGCTGACCAGCCGCCCCCCTGATGCACCTGACCATGCCCAAAATTCAATAATAATAATTGATTGCTTATTACAAACGCTCTGCATATGTGTCTCAAATTTATTGTGGGCAGCGGGGGAGGGGGGGAAGGGGTTGCCGGGGACATTTGCTAATATTTACGCATTAGCTATGCACACCCCTAAGCCACCCTGTAAATGTAGTGGGTGTAGTGAGTGCACCTGACCAACCACCGACCCGAAAGAGACGGAAGTCGTCATTAAAGTTTAATGTTTTCATTTCGGTTTTGTGCACGCAACAATTTTAATTATTAACTTTATAATTATGCAAAATCACGAATTACATTAGAATCACTTTGTTATGCCGATTTGGTTTACAGTCTCTTTGAACGAGTTCGAGTGAATTTTGAATTATTTCGAATAGATGATGATGTGGCACTTCCAATCAGGACTTGGATCCTCTACTCTCCTTCCTCTTTGTTTCTCCGCATTGTTGCCACAATTATTAAGCCCTGCGGAGTTTAATAATTAACTGAAAGCCATATCCTGCACGATAAAGTTGCTGCTAAATGCAATTAACTTTATTTACAAAGTCGTTTGATAGGGATAAAAGGTTACCTCTAGGAAAGTAATTCATTTTTAAAACATTTCTAATATAAAATATTACAAAATAATATTACGATTATTCTTTATATCTCATATGTAATTATAGAAATATTCAAGTAAATATTGATATTTTAAGTTTTATTTTACATAAAGAATTGTTTTTAATGGGTATTCATATTGTATATACTACCAAAACAATTTATTGTTTTGACTTAAGCTCAAAATAAACTTGAGCAAAATAAAACTATATAAGAGAGGTCACTCGAGAGTTTTAAATTAAAGATTGTGTTTTCTTAAATCCCAGAGGAACCGTTCTGGGAAAGTCCCAATCTCGAGTCCCGATAAGTTTCCCCTATAAAGCCAACTGCCCCGATCGAAACCGCTTCAGTTGAAAAAAGTAAAGCGCTATGAAAACTTCGAGTATCCACATCGCACTGCTCCTGATCACCACGTTTAGCCAGGGAATGGCTAAAAGTCAAAGTCCCTCAACGGCGAGTGTCGTGCAAGATTTTCCCACCAACATACTAATCATTATCTGTGTGCTCCTGATGACCTTCCTCTGGCTGGGATGTACCTATTTCATAGCCAGTCGTCACCAGAAGGCGGTGGAGTATCTCCAAAACCAATTGGATGAACTATGGCTCCTGCAGGCCAAGCCCTCCGTCTGGCCACATGCTCCATTCATTCCAAATCCGCGGGGGGAGAATCCGCCAGAGTACATACCGCCAAAGAATCCAGAGGAACAGCAGCAAGAAGACAAAGAGGCCATGGAACGGGCCAAAGTGGCCAGGGCCTTTCTGGAAGCCAGAAAAAAGGATAAGTGTGGGAAGAATAATGACAGTGAATCAAGCGAGTTTTAATTTTTATATTTTAAGTAATCCTAAGCTGAAAGATATTTAAAAAACTACGTCAAACTATGCTGTGACTTACAAATTTTAAACCGAAATCCAAATTTTTTTGTGGAATAAATGTTAATAGTTTCTGGAAAACTATATCATGTCTAGCACTATAAGTATAACAATTTCTTAGACTTATCAAGGCTTTAAAAATTGTTTACTTTACGTTTAATTCTTATAATAAAATGTATGTACAATGTCCAAGAAATTTGTAAGAAATAAAATTACTTAAATTTAAAACGCTTCGAATTTCACCCAGTACCCCTTGACTTAGCCTTAACTCTGGTGTGAAATTTCCAAATTGATTTCGGGATATGCATGGTATTCGTGTCGTTAGTCGATGGTGGAGTTAGTCAACGATATGTTGGCCAATCTGATAGCCGCATGCCTGCTGGCTCAGCTGCTTCTTGTGCCCGTAGAGGCTTCTACTTCTACTTCAGTGAACTGCTCCAATCCCTTGACCCATGTGACCGCCTGCGGACGCTTCAGTGCCAACGGATGCTGCGCAAAGGGATGCATCCGGAATGCGAGAGGCAGGTGTGCCCCGGAACAGTGCACCGACAGTTGGAGCCCCTGGCTAACGCGACCCGTGACCATGAGCTGCTACTTTCACTGGTTCCTGGTGATCTTTGCCGGGATCATTACCTTGGTGATGACATTCCTGGTGTTGTGCAACGTGGGCTTTGAGGTGAGGCGTTACCTGCGGCATCGGAGGCACCAGCGTTTCAGACCCTTCCGGGACCTAAGCGGCATCTCCATAGGATCCACTCAGTGCTAGGACACGTGTGGGCTTCCGATGCGAGAGATGGGAGCTGGAAGATGGGAAGTGCCTGAGGGATTTGCCATAATCTGCAATACATTAGCGGCAGCTTTGCTCTGGCTTCCAATTCAATTCTTTGGGTATCTCGGGCCAAAGCCATGTAAATTACGATTCGCCACCTCGGAAATCCTATTAGTAGTTAAAACCTGATTAGGAAATACTTGCGGCTGGTTTGGGTACGGATTGGGCTCATGGCGGCGGGCTCTCTCGAGCAAATAATAATAAATGGCTCACATGCGAAATGCTTTGTGGATATGTCCCCTCCGGGGTGACAACTCCAGTCGAAGGTGGCGCTCCCGTCCGGAGCGAGTCAAAGGTGCAATAACCCAAGCGAACGGGGCACATAAAACTAAATGGCTGCGGGTCCCCAGCCAAACCCCTCCATCCTCTCAAGAGCGAGCCAACCTCAGTGGCCATTGCGGTGCAGATAACACACGTTGGAATACAGTCGGCGGCACACGGATAGTTCATGCGGTGTGGATTTATTTAAAGGAAATCTATTTTTAACTGATTGATAAAATCATAAAATTAAAAATTGTGTTTAACTTTCACTGAATTTTAATAATTATAAAAAACAAGAAGACATCTTTGCTATTTTAAATATAGAATCACGGTCACTATGAATCCATTTTAAACACCTTTCCTAGGCATATACTTTCTATTCTTTAAACATGATTTATTCAATGATAATCTCAGGTTAGAAATGTTCAAAATTTCTTGATTTATTTGTGCATCCATGGCTGTGTATGCATATATATATGTATATATTTTTTTGGTATAGCAGAAAGTCGGCGAGGCGTGCAGCCAAAGCTAAACGCGCTGCCAACCGCGCAGAAAATGAAATGGAAAATATGGCTGGAGGGAAAAAGGGAAAATAAAAAGGAAATAAACGAGCCAAAAAGAAAAGCTTTGCGAAAAGGTCGTCCTCTTTCCATGTGTGCGTGTGTGTGTGTGTGGGTTCCCGGGCAGCAGATTTAGAGGTTGCTTATGTGTGATTTAGTACAGCATGCGCGAATATGGCGGCGATAATTCTTTAAAAATTGGAAATTGTTTTCCAATCGATTTCGCATTTAGCCAAAAAGCACTCAACACAAAGACATGGCAGCCGAGAGCATCAGAGTGGGATGGTGAAAAATAGAGCGAGGCGACGCCAGTCGAGTGTCTTTTATAAACTTGTGTGTAGAGTGGCCCACACACATACAAAGCAGAGATAGCCACCCACCCGGTGGTTGTGTGTATTTATATTTTATAAAAATGTATGAAAAATACAATATTTCGTTATTTTTCACCTGGCTGCAGCTTTGAAAAGGATTTGGCAGCTGAAATCATGGATTTGGATTTGGCTCCGGCTTTGGCATTGGCTTTCTCTGTAGTTTGTTTATTTCCCTGGCTTGTCAAGTGAAAAGCGTTTTCAGGGTATAAAGGGAACGGGCCAAACGAAAGGGTTTTTGGTTCAACCAAAAACATATAAGCAATTAAATTTGATCACTTGTGGAGTCACTAGAAAAAATATGTACAGAAAGGATTAAGCTTGGGTGAATTTATTAAGTGAGATTTGGTATTTTTTAGATTTTTATTTAGGATTATATTTACCATTTTTGAAGTGAAATCGGTCTTTCTTTAAGTTACATACAATAAATACAACTTAAGATAGTAATAATTATAATTTATAAAAATATTTAATAAACTTAAACTTTATAAGAAGTTTCTTAGCATTTAATGTATTATTTCTGTACAGTTTTATATAAATTTGATATTTAAGAAAATTACCCCGAATTACAGATCAATTGCCTTACTATTTTTTCTCTCTGCACAAACACACACAGGACTCACAGGACGAATCAAGGCTGTTTGACTCCTTTTAACCACATCAACCGCCCATCCTCATTCATCCAAGTTTATATAAAAGCGATTCTCATTTCTTGATGCTCAAAGGCAGCCGAAACATTTTGGGTGTGTGTGCGTGGCGTACAATGGGCACAAAAGGTTAGATACACACACCAACACACACCCACTCCTGAAATGGCAAGGGGCGTGCTTGGGTTTCCCTTTTGGGGTGGACCCAAAAGTGGGGTTGGGCGATTCGTGACATATTTTATTTGCACAATGACAATACGAGTTGCTCGAAAGGAAAGCACACAGAGAGAGAGAGAGTGGAAGGAGTCGACACCCGCAACCCGCCATTACACAAACACACCCTCGTCCTGTAACCCACACCAGGACACAATTACACAGCTACCGAGGAGACACACACAGTAGCGCACAAAGTAGTAAAATAAGTGCAAAGGATAATGCGAATTGAAATGACAAAACCCGGAATAATCATTGGCTCCACACTCTCAAGGAGGGGGTACTTTCGTTGGTGAAACTCCGAATGGGGTTTCCAGAGGAAAAGGGCAAACCTTTTAGCGTTTTGCCGCCGGCTTTCGCCGCCACTTCTTTAGCATTTTATCAACACCAAGACTGCTCTATAAAAAGTTAGTATCGCGCAGATAAAACAAAGCAAAGAGTCACAAAAAGCCAGTATAAATGCGAAATTACTAGAATGTTTTAGAGAAACAAAGAGAAGGCCTTTAATAATGACTACCAACTTTGGTTGCAGTAAAATGTATATTTATTAATTAACCAAAAAGTTAATTGTACATAAAATACATTAGAATCAGGAAAACTCATTAAGTAGAATCTAAAAATCAAACTGTCAGATAAATAACTATATTTTGTCTGTCTTTAAACACCGGACAAAGTCAACCCCCATTAAGACAACCTAAGGAATGGCTTCCCGTTCTTCCCCCCAGCTTTTATTTATGCCTTTTAAGTAAATTAAAATTTACTCATTTTGTTGCCAAGTCCGAGGATTGCCACACACCCACGGGCAGAGGGCAGGCATCAAATCGCGCGCATGACAATATTGTCAATTTTATTTGCCGCCATTTTTATTGCAATCCGGCTGGCTGGCCTGTCCCCTTCTGGTCGGCGGCATCCTATAATTTTGAGCTCCTTGGGCGCCGTTCTATTCCTTCTATTCCCGGTGCCATGGCTCGTAAAATATTTTTATTTATTTTTTATTTACCCAGAGCTCTGCCATGCATGACCCCAATATGAAGGAGTCCCGGGTTTGGGTTCCGGAGTCCTGGTTCGGGGGCCACTGCAATTGGTCCTGCAAGCCTCGCAACATCTCCTTTTGGCCTGTTTTTAATGTGCGCCATTTTATTTGCCACAAAACCGACACACGGCGCCATTAAAAAGCCATAAGCGTTGAGCCTTCAGCTTCTGTTGGCCGCTTGGTTCTGAAGCTTTTGCCTCCATTTTCCTTTTGGCCGGACTCGCGCTTAGGCGTTATTAGAATTTCCCTCACTGACCTTGTTTGTGGGCCATAAACCGTTCGCTGCAGCGGCAAAACATTTTGATTACAATTTTTATGATTTTCAGGTCAGGTCAGAATTTGGCATCATAAAATGGCCAACAAGTAAATTTGAAATAAATAAATAAAGGCCAGTCAAATATGAGATGTGTTTTATGGGCGGCCATAAACGGGGCCACTAACAGCTGGGACGAGGGCATTCATTGTTATTATCTTCATTTTTGGGCAATTATTCAGATTTTCCTCACTGAATACTTCATCCCCGTTTAATGAGGCTTAAAGCTTGTGCTGCAGCTCAGCGCCCTGGAATTGAATTTTAAATGGCCAAGTCCAAGGACTCATTAAGCCAAGAACCCTTTGCCTAAGCAGGTGCCATAGATCCTTCACCATAGAATAGCTCCAGTGAAAGTCAGGGATGCTTCTGGGGGGGAAGCCAGGCCAGAACCCGAACCCAAACTGTGCCTGGGCAGATAAGAGTGTCGAAGATTTATTGCCAACGCAATGAGTTAAGAAAGACAAGTACCTAAGGGAAAAATCCAGCAGCCAAGACGATGATGACGATGATTACGATGACGGGTTGGTATGTAGCAAAAAAGCAAAGAACCGGGGCCAACAATAATAATGATGGAGCTGCCGCATACTGACAAAGTAAATGATGGGGAATCATCCGCCGGAATGGGGGGCCAAACTAGAGGAGCAGAAACTTGACTGGTTCTCTGATTGTCTCTACATAAGAATGAAATGAGGGGGTTGGACTCCAAGGGTTGGGGACAACATCAGCAGCAGTAGCAGCAGCAGCAGGCAAATAATGGCTGACAGCATGCGTCGTGTCTTAAGACAGTTTCAAGATGGCGCTTCTCCTGCGCGGGAAACCGGGCAACTCTCAGAGATGCGAGGTCGCGAAAAGGTCCTGAAATACACTTTAAGAAAAGGTTATATTAGAAGTGTGATTTAACTGCTAAAAAACATTACAAGTTGAGATTGAAAACCCTTTTATTTAGCTTGAAACTGAAGATCTGCAATTAAAATAAATTTAAATTTAAAACCTAAGTTTTAACTTGGTAAAACCATAATTTTCCGTTTTAATATATCTTATTGAATGCTTTAAATTATGCAACAATTTTAAAAACCTTTCACTTTAGTTATTTTTTTTATTGAAACACATTCTCTGGCGTGACTCACGCTGTTATCGCTGTACTTCCCCCCGCCCAGAACATATAGGAAGTTGATTTTAATTGCGGCTCATCCATTATGCGGCTGGCTGTGCCCGCTGCCTGGTTGACGGCCTGAGCTTGATTAACAATAATTAGGCTCGGCATTAATTACGCCGAAAAGTTAATTGCGCGAGTGTGTTGGTGGATACAGAAATGAGTGGAGACATGAAAACCGTTGGCGAAAAGTTCTAGGATAATTGCACATTCCAGTTCAACTTTACTACGAATCATTTCAGCTGTAAAGCTTAAAGGAGAATTGTATAAATATTGATATATATTCACAACGCCTTAAAACAAAATCAAAGTGCATTACAAATTTCTTTCCGTTTAGTTTACAGCTGCCAAAAAATCCATAAAGAGTTGTATCCCAAGCCGGGCGACAATAATAGAGTTACTTAAACAGCTGGATGGCAACTTATTAACCCTTTGACTCCCCAGCTGGGCCAAATCCACCCACACCCACACCCACAGCCCCCAGCAGCCAGATAGAAGACAAAGCCAACGGAGGCCGCAATAAAATCAATCTTATTAAAACATTAACAGCGGGCAAAGGGGAATAAAATAAATCAAATGGTCGCCGGGTCGCAATTTCACCCCCACCACCATCCCCCTAATGGATGCTTAACGCAGCGGGAAATCTTATTTCCCCCGCTTTTCTCGCTTTTCTCACTTTTCCCTTCGGATGCCCGGGCACTTTATTAGCCGGCTTCAATCAAGGCGGGCAGCATATGAAATTCAAATTTGATGCCCGAACGGAAAGCAACCCCCTCGGGATGTCCTTTTATTATTATTTTTATTGTGCGGTGATTTTCCGGGGGGTTGTCACTCGGCGACGGACGGCGGTCGGCGGGGTGCATATAAATGCGACATAATTTCGCTGTAATGAATAAATTGATGGATGGATCTTTTTGCACCAGGTCCACCTTGGAATTAAACACTTGCTTGAGTTTCTGGTGGGAGCGAAAACCTGAAAGCTGCCTTAAATTAAGTTTCCCCCCTGTGGCCTGTAAATTACAATTTGATTTTTTAATTTTTCCATTTCCCTCACCGCTTTCCCCGGCGGCGGAAAGCCATTCGTTATCCCAGCGGTTGACCGCAATTTGCCAGTCGTAATTCATTCATCGGAGTGTGCGCTTTTTTTTCCATACTTTTTATTGTTCTTTTGATTCAATTTCTATAACTAGTAATATTAGGTGTACAATTATTAAATAGTTTATATTTATACGGGGGCTCTTTAGTGGGGATATACACGTACATATACAGACAGACACGTATATGCCAAATGCCATCTCCGGCGGATTTCTATACGACTAGACAACTCCTTAAAAACTGCTACGGCTTTGATATAGTTTTAGTTTCCTCTTTAGTTGTAGCTTTAGCTTTAGTTTTACAATCTTGATACGTTTCTGGTTTATATTCATACGATATACGATGGGGAACTGAAGTTGGAACTAGGACTGACAGTTGATTATATGTTCTTTGGGACTGGCTATTATCCTGCCTGGATTTCGCTTACGATTTCGATACAATTTTGTGGAATTGGAATTTAAAAAATAAAATTGCTTAATTGTATTCCCATTCCACATCATTTTATTGAAATCAAGCAAGGAAGTAGGATTTCTTTTGGTTTATTTTTGGCTTTGATTAGTGTAGGGGTTCCGCTTCATTTAATTTATTTCTCTATAACTAGATATTTGCTTTTATGTACAAAAACACTTAATGTCTGACTTGGGGGGCTGCGAACGTAATTAGCTTTTAATCTCAACACAAATTAAATAGAAGTTCCAATTAGCGGTGGTTACTTCTGCGTTTGGTAAATTTAATTATTGTTCTTCAAAAAATGTTCACTTTTGATAGGGGGATTTTTTGTTATTTAATTTATCGTTCTATTTTATGCCAGAGCTGCTCACACACCCCTGACTTCTGCAAACATCTAAAATTATTTATTACTTAGGGCTAGGTGTTGCCTTTCTTTAGTGTTTAGTTTGATTTAAGTAGTGCGTTCAATCGATGACGTCCTCGTCGTCATTGTCGTTGTTGTTGTTGTTATTGTTGTTGGCTCCCCCATTGGCCTCCATCGGGGACTTGTTGCCATCCTCCAGGTGACCATCATCTGGCGGCGAAACCAGTCCCGTCCCAGTCCCCAGCCCGAGATCGGAGTGGTCCAGCATGCCGGAGTGCTGGAGCTGGCCCATGTTTCCGCCACCGCCGTGCTGCTGCTGGTGATGCGACACCGATCCGCCCGAGAAGTGCTGCAAGTGGTGCTGGTGCTGGTTGAGCAGCGCACCCAGGGCGTTGTCTCAGACCACGTCCGCCACGCCCACGCCCGTGTACTGGCAGGCGGAGAGGCCGGCGGAATTGGATCTGGACACGGGCGATGGTGCGGAGTAGGGACTGCCGAAACCGGCGGAGGCGTGCTGCTTGGCCTTCAGCCGCAGCGTGGCGATGCTCGAGGACATGCTGGAGGACATGCACGGCTCGGCGGCGGCGCGATACATGTACGGATTGGCGGGGCTCGTGTACGGACAGGGGGCACCCACGGCACCCACATTGGAGCCATTGCCCAGCGAGGAGCTCAGCGAGGAGCCCATCGAGCCCGGCAGCATCGATGCCGCATTGTTCATGCTCACAGCCACCCCGCTGGCGCCCGTGTTGAAGCAATTCACCGAGTTCTGGTGATGATTGCTGGCCACCATCGATCCCAAAGGATTCACAGGCCACGGGAAGGGTTTGGTGCCCAGCGGCGAGGGAACCTTGGTCCAGTTATTGTACGGATACGAGCTGTACAGCGAGTCATCGGCAAACGGCTGCATGAACTGTGTCCCGAATCCGGACTTGAAGTCCGCCGCTGCCACAGCCGCATTCATGGCATTGCGCTCCCTCTTGCGCCACTTGGCCCGTCGGTTCTTGAACCATACCTGGAAAAATAGGAGAAGGATGCCTTCATTAGTTTATGGATAATTAAAGGATAAAAATATTAAACTGTTCTAAATGTAAAGCTAATTTACTAATAAATATCAAAAATAGTAAACAAATCTTAAGATAAATTATATAAAATTACTAAATGTATTTCTTTAAATTAATATTTAAATAATATAATCAAATTTCTTGTATATCTGTCTACCATTTTCTCAACAACATCTTTAATCCAAAAGCCAACTCCCTTTTCAAGAACCCCGCAGTTTTTTTAAACTCCGCAGGCAGCCATTTTCTTGTATAATTTATAACTTGAAAATTTATGTATCTGCCTGGGGCGAAAACGGGGAAAACTTCCCCCAAAAAGGCTCCCCGCAATACGCATGTGCAGTAATTATAAATATACAAATATATACATAAATACTCCCAGTTGGGGGAAGGCCGCTCTGGCTGCCTTTTTTAATGGAGAGCTTTATATAAATAAACTCGGCTTGCCACCCCGAAAAAAGTCGCTTGGCGGCGGTAGAGAGAATAGAGAGAGAGTGGTGGGGCACGGGGAAAAAGTTGCAAGAGCGCAAAAATAAATCAAAATTATTTCGCACAAAAAAAAAAAAAAACGAAGATAAAAACAAAATGGCAACTTTGTAATTTATGGCTGAAGTTTGCCCAGATATACTGATGACGCTGGGAGCGGGTATGGCATGCCAAGAGGCGGGCACAGACAAAAGATACTCGTGCCGAGATAAAGATACAAATGACAAAGAACTGCGCAGATGAGTTTCTTGCTCTCCGAGATGCCAGCTTTAAGGCCATCTTGAGATACATTCGCGCAGAGCGTTCCCACATTCGGATACAGATACAATTCGGTTGGGGCAATTAAAGCTGCGAATTGGAATTTCACGGCTTGTAGCCGCATTGCCACATTGTCCCTAAATCAACGTGTCCGGGGTTGTAGATTTATGGCCTATGCAGGTCTGCACCCCTTGCCAGGACACGAGTATCTATGAACATCCTGCATCCTGTTAGCTGCCTAACCCCTCGCTTAGCCGTGACAAAAGTCCGACACGCGCTTGATCTATGCAAAAACTGTTTGTTTTTCCCTGGGAAAATTCGGATTGAGACATTTCCGGGCCGCGCTAACAGCTAACAAGTGAAAAGTGGAAAGCTATGGCCGCGTGCCAGCGAAACACATTTCGACGCCAATTGCCTTAATCTAATTAGTTGCGGCAGTTAATTGAAATCGCATGAGCCAGCACCAGTAGCGGGGAAAAGTAGAAGTTTTCCCAGGATAAGGGAAAGGACATCCAAGGCGGCACTGGGAAAAAAGAACCTAAATTTGATATTGCTGTTATAAGAAAGGGTATTGAAAGGTTTGAGACAGTAAATAATTTAGAAATTACTCAAATAATTCCGTTCTTGATTTCAATCAAGTACTTAAATATTTCCTTTAGCACCTCTTTTTGTTTTCAGTGCCCGTTTAAATCAAAGCATAAATCGCTTTCCCCCTTCCCAAAGGCAATGTGTCAATTTGTCAAGGTACATCGCTCAGCCCCATCGCATCATCATCATCATCATCATCTGGAGAAGCATCAGGCTCAAGGATCTCCTGCATCATCCTGGATGCAAAACTAACGTCATCGATCTCGTCAGCTGTCATTTTCACGTATCATTTAGCAAGTTGCCAAAGTTGCAAAAAAAAGAAAAAAACGAGGGGAAAAAAGGTAGAGGAAAAAATGGAAAATGCTGATGGCAAATTGATGTGCCTGCAAAAAAATAAAAAAGACAAAAGGGAAAGCAGGGAAGCTGCGCAAAAGTGAAAAAGTGAAATATGAGAGAGTGGAAAGAACAGCGCAATTTTCCACTCAACGGCACAGGGTCCTGCAGGAAATCCTAATTGGTTTTGATGAAAGCATCAATGACACTCGACAGCTCCTGCAACGCTTCATCAGGTAAATTGTGGACTTTTGGGAAAAGTAAAAAACGGGGAATATGAGTGGCCAAAAAGTGGCCATGTGGCAAAAGTTAGGGCCGCACTTTACCCACTTTTTCCCATTTCATTTTTTTCGATTCCTACCAGCTCTCATGATTGATGGCGCAAATTGCAGCTAAATACGTTTTTTATTTGCTCTGTGAAATGGGCCGGGGCTTCGTTTCCGGGGTTCTTCTCTCTCTCTCTCTTTCTCTGTCTCTCCGGCAGATAGTGAAAATCGCCCAAGTGAAAATCGGTTTCCTACGGCAATAGATAACATCGATACGTGGACTACTCCACGCAGCGCTGTCTCTTTGTGTGCTCAACTGTCTGTATACTCCAGTATTAATTGGTGGTCTGATTCCGGCCCACAGCTGCAGATACAGATATAGATTGGGCCACATATGTGAGCAAAAAGTGGCCCAATCATGGCCCAAACAGAAATCAACAAAGTCAAAGGGTTGAGGAAGTTAAAACAGTGAAGAATCATGGCTAAAGAGCACTTGGTTTGATTGTAAATTGATTTACAAATTCAGAAATATACAAGACTAACTTTTGTAAATATTTATAAATATTTAGAAGTTTAATGGACTTTATAGACTTACAAATTGTAAAGTTAAATCTTAATCATTGTATTAAAAATACAACTAACAACATAATCCACCTCAAAATACCTCTTTCTATTTTTTATTTCTCTTGATCCCATTATTGTCTTCCCCCTGAGGCCTCTCTCCGTATTATCCACCACATTGAACCATTTGAACTGCAATCATGTCAGCATATTGTGGCTCCTTTGTGGCCGCTTTCAATGGCTTTTTTATACACTTTCGGCGATTGGCAAATGCTGTTCCCATTTCCGGGCCATTGGCAACACCTGACCATAAAAGGGAACTCGCTGAAAAAAAAAAACACTCCATTCAGACAACTCTTCTCTCCCCCCTCAGTTCTATTTCCGATTGAGGACAGCGCACAAATGTTTTTATGTGCCTTGTTGCTGCCAGTCCTCCTCGACTGGTAATTGAATTAAAAAGTGAGTTCTATTTGACACATTTAAAAACACAAAAAACGAAAAGAGAGAAAGGAGACAAAGTCGGGCGAACATATTGCCATAATTGCCGGCGCATGTAAATCCCCTGAGTTCTACAGTTCCTCAGACGGGCTGCTCGTTTTTTGACAGTTTAAAGCCCGGCCAGATTTATGCCATTACTACCCGGGAGCTGGCTGGGCTGGGCTGGGCTGGGCTGGCCTGCACTGCCCCGTAATCCTTTTGTATATTTGTTAAATTTTATTGCCTCCGCTATTACAATGGGCATCCCGGAGTCAAAGTCAAATGTGAGGAGCCACCCCTGAGGCAGATCCAAAGGCATGATCACGATCATCATTAATTCCTGTGCGGTTTTCTAATTCATTAAACAACCCTCGCGATGCGATGACAAATTGTCCTGGCATTGTTTTGCATTTTCAAAGGGATGGAAACCCCCTAGCTGCTGGCAAAGCGTTTTGTCATCATCACATAATGGACCATAAAACAAACTGTATCAATATTTTATGCATTTAGCCTGGCTGCTTTATGCGAGGAACACATGTTTAGATTGACATCGTTTCCAGCCATAGTTTCTCCCACCCTTTGCAGTTCGGGCCGCAGCTAATTTCTTTATAAATGCTGTCAAGTGCTGAGCCGAGCATCGAGGTTGTCCAGGATTTCTTGGCATATGCGAGAGTTATTTGTGAAATTTGCATAGGAAAACCATGAAGCATTTATGGTCGGTGCTTCCCTCGCAGATGTTCATCGCGGGTCTAATTGCATTTCGATGATAGCTCCAGGCCACTTCTAGCTGTACAATTAATGCCACGCCGATGTCGCCATACGTCCAATGACAATGATCACAGAACTCGATCAGCGATCGTCGATCATCGATCATGTGTCTATCATATCTACCGGCTGTCTGGCGATTGTCTTTGTGTCCGTCTCTCTGACCGACATGGAATGGAAGTGGAAATGAAACTGGAAATAGATATATAGATAGATATATATCGCAGATATCGAGGGGCCTCTGGTATTTGCCGCTTGGCGCCACAAACTCCAATTGTTTACCAAACTAACTATCGTGTTTACAAACAATTACAACTGTTGTGCGGCGAAGATATCTTGTTTGTTGTCTTTTCCCTTATTAGTTTTCCTTACGCATTACGCGTAGAGAATATGAAAAGGAAGGGTACTGTAGATTCTATGAGGTTTGTGATCTAGAGTTTACTTTTAATTCTAAGGAACTTGTATCAAGGTAATGAAATGTGATTTAAATGCTTCTTAGACTCTCTCTTTTTTCATTAATAGAAAATTGACTCTTTATAAGAAGACCTGTTACTAAGTACCCTTAGATACATTATACCTTGATATAAAACCAATGTACGATACCATTCCGTCTCGGACGTGGACAAATGCCCAAGCCCGTGTCAATAGAACGGATATTGAGCAAACACTCGTCGTTCAATTCAGTTCAGTTGAGGTCGGGCCTTCGATAAGCCCGCGGTTTACAAACAGCAAATGCTGCAAACGCCGCCAACTGCAGTTTTAGCCGCGGCAATTTATGGCAACAGACCCCCGGCTCCCATAACTCCCCCTGTATATATAACCCCCCCATAAATCCCGGCTGGTGCAGGGAAATTGGTTCTTCTTTTTTGGCCATATTGGCCGCATTGGGGTTTAAGCCTTCGGCAAACCAGGCGACATATTTACGAGTCTGTGCGGCTGCATTGCGGTCGCGACTCCTGCGGTCGGTAATATAATTGGAACAGGACTGTAATGGCCGCATAATGTGGCAGGACCTCTCCGCCGGCATTTGTTTGCCGTTTGCGGCTTGGCTGGCAATTAATTCCAGCATCAGTCTCCCAGGTAATTATGGTGTCCAGTCGGTAAGGAATTAAGAGGCACAACTCTTTGATCATTTCAATAATTTTTTAAGAGTCAAAACAATTTTCCAACAATTTATAAAACTATTCTAGAATATCACAGAATACTTGTTGATCTCTTATCATTAAATTAATATAATTATATATCAACAATATTTCTTTACTCACCCTGACTCGCGCCTCCGTTAGATTGGTCCACATGGCAATCTCCTCGCGGGTGGACATGTCCGGATACCTGTTCCGGCTGAAGGTGTGCTCCAACTCCTGCAGTTGCTGCGAGGTGAAGTGCGTCCTCTGACGTCTTTGCCTTTTGTTCTTCTTGTCGTTTTTGGGCTCTTCGCCACTGGTGGTCATTGGCTCATCATGACCTGAACTTGATATGTTCTCTGTCTTGATCGTGGTCTCATTTACACTGCGATTGCCTGAGGGGGTAAATAAATATTCATAATTAAATAAAATATTTTTAACCTTACAATACGATTTCCCTTTCTAGTGTATTTCCCCGGCAGTTGCAGTGGCTGTCGCTAAGCTCTTTTATGCCGCCTGTCTGGGTTTGCTCGGGTTAGCCGTTGATAAGCAGGAGTCTCCCAAACGGCTTCTGTTTTTTTCTGGCACCGTCACTAATTGCCATGCAACCTTCAGGCGTCGCCAGCAAACATTCAACACCCAATATCGAACACCCATCACCCACAACAGCCGTGGTAGTTCAAAGGCGCACCGCCGGCCAACAGATTTACAACCAGTTAATGTATGTTCCCCGATGTCATCGATCATGCGGCGTGCTTTCTGTGTTGTGCTGTGCCAGAAAGCGAAACCCCAACCGAAACCGAAACCAAAACCGAGCCAGAAACTGCCGAAAAACTTAATCAAATAAACTAAATTACTGCCCCCGTGGAAAATATCATTCTCGCCTTCCGTCGCCGTCGTCGTGAGGTCGCAAATCAAAGGCAGTCTAATCGAAAACTAAACGGACCCCGGCGAGTAAATTTCGCCGACAAAGGTGAAATCGTTGGCCACGCTTTCCGAAATTATTATAAATTATGTTCCTTATCAATGGGGGGTTTGAGGAGAGATAACGGATTCATTGCTGGGAATACGATTTTTGTACCAAAATTACAGGCAAAGGGTATACATTGAATTGAATTTGTTCCATTTTAAAATCAGTTTGATCTTGAAAATGATTATCTTAATCATCAATTTTATAATTATCCCATTGGCTTTCTGAATTATATGAATTTTTCTTTTCTTAACTCACCATCTTTGCGATCCCGACTTCGATTCGACAGCGTCGATGTCGATGACGTCTGAAAGTTGTTCAAGTGGGTGCTGTCCAAACTATTTGCTACGGCGGTCATGGAGCTATGACTATCACGGAAATCGCCGGTTTCGGCCCAAACTGAAAAGAACAAGCCAGCGCAGGGCAAGAGAAAATTACACAAAAATTTATGTTTCAATCAAAGTATGTGGTAGGTTTAAAAAAATAAGAAAATGCATAAGAAAATAATAAAAAAAAACCTACTGTAATTCAGTAATTTATGCTTATAATTTACTATATTTTAACTATGTAAAATATACATGTTCCCGTAAGTTTCCCCCTTTTTAAAGATATTTTTCTTTTGAAAAATAGCCCTGAGAAAAACTGCACAAACTTCTCCCATTCCTCACTCTCTGTTCTCCTAGGCGAGAAAAAAAGAAGTGGAGCCCGTAAAAGAGCTCATAAAAGGATTTATGGCACTGCAGCCTGGAATGGGCTCTTGGTTAGCTCGATTAAAAAGCGGATTGCGCCTGGAGGAGGCCAACTTAATGGCTTCCAAGGGAAAGATTATAAAACTTTACCTCTTGCTTGAAGCAAAAGACTTGCCATGGGGCCAAGTGACTCGGGGAAATTACCCCGGAGTTGGTGGTGGCCCGCCATAAATCTAGCGGCGCTAAATGAGTCAAGTAATTTGCTGGACGCCACTTAATAATTGCCGCAGTTAGTCACGCCTATTTTGATATTAATTAGTCAGCCATTGACACGATTCCCCCCGGAGTCGATTTCGTCACAGATTTATGGCCATGGAAATTGATTTCTGTTTCGGTTTCCAAGTGGCCTTCCTGCGAAGAAGGTGTGCACCCATATGGTCATGGGTCTCGTCTTCCTACTTAATCTTCCCGGCCGCTTCCTTTGCATACTTTTCGTAATTTATGGCCTTCTCACATGCTGTCATTTTAATGTGGTTTCCAAAGTGCCAGTTCCGAAAAACACCCGTGGCGACATTTGAAACAATTAGTATGCTCCTGCTCCTGCTCCTTGCTTTAAATTTTCCACAGGGAATATATTTTTTTTCTTTTTCGGTGGGGCTAGGAGTCACAAATGTCATCCCCTCGGAAGTGGCCCCTGGCTCACTCAGTTTATGGCCGGTTGCATAATTTATGCCGCCGACAACAGCCTCACATGCCGTTGGAAATTTAAAATTCCCCGTGAAAAGTATTTTTATGGCCCATAATTAGTGCGTTTGGGTGTAATTAAAATTTCATTGCTCTATTATGAGCGCGTTGTTGGTTGTTGGTCTGAAAATTCTCAAAACAAACAGTGTAGCGGTGTTAAACTATAATTTCCACTAAGATTGTTTTGTCAAGATTGATCAAATCGGGTTTTATTTGCAGTCAATGAAAATATATTTAAGGAAGTGTCTATGAGTAATCTGTGTTCTAAATTTCTCTTCCCCTACAGATTGTCATATGAGACGTCACTTCCCGCAGCAGCATCCTCGTTTTCCACTTTCATTTTTTAGTAAACGCCTCATTGCAACCTCTGAATCCGCGGCACAGCTGAATGAGTCCTAATAGATACATAGCTCTGCCCCATGCCCACTCCAAATCCTATTCAGATTCCCGACCTGAGCTAAATGGGTCGTCATCGCCCATTTTTCGTATCGTAAAAATATTTTCCTAACGACACGCTCTAAAAACACACACGCCGACGATGAAAAAAAAACATGGGAATTTGAAAAAACGCAGCAAAAATCACGTAGCACGGCGATTTTTATTTGTTTAAATACTTCGCAGCAAAGTGGTCTATTTTGCCTGTGGCCAGCGACTAATTTGAGTTTGATTTTCCTGCATTGAGATGTTGTTTTCTTTTGGGTCCGTGGTATGACAGGTTGGGAAAAATTGTCGTCGTCTGTCAGCTGGCGGTGACATTTGTCGACCAGTTGTCGCCAGAGTTTTACAATGTTTTCAAGGTTTTCGAGTGGGTATGGGGGGGGGTAATCGGAAAATCCGAATATCTGAAAATGTGAGTGGCAAGTGTCAATGGCTGTGGGCGTTGCTTGTTCGCAGCGTTGCGTTTTGCACATGTCAAGAGTTTTGAGTGTTTTGTGACAACAAGTGTTTTCATTTTGTCCAAGTTTATTCTCTGGCAGCCATTTTGCAGTGGCATCGCGGATATTCAACGATTTTCCTCTATTTGATTTTTCCTCTATTCGATTTTTCACCGCTGAGCAAACAGCAAATGAGCAATGGGATATTTATTTGACTTGGCGACTATTGTGATTGCCACAAACAAAAGTCAAAGGCAAACACTCCCCTTTGGGCGTTCACAATTAATCAAGCGGAGGGTTGCCTCCATGAAACTGCACAAAATACGAAATACGAAATGATTCAGATATTTTCAGCGACCGAGCATCCTGCACACACATACGATACACGCCGAGAGGAGATTCATTCATAGACAGATTTCCACATAAAAACTTTTGACACACGACACGGCAGCCGGAGCAATAAATTATCCGGATCCGGCTCCGGAGACGCAGAAGCAGACGCAGACGGAGACGGAGGCTGTCGACTGTCAGAGGAAAACCTCACCGGCCAGGAAAACCTAGCCAGAACCAAAACAAACAAATAACAAATAAAATAAAGGACGAACAAAGGATGGCCCTCCCGAAAACAAAAAAAAAAAACTCAGAGGGAGGAAAATGGAAAAGGCAGGGGAAAATGTCAAGCAGCAGCCGCGTTTAGTTGGTGACCAAAAACAAACGATTAATGTGACAGTTGAATGGGGACTGGGATTGGGTTTGGGATTGAGATTGGAATTGGAAATGGGACTAGGATTCCCAGGATCCCGAGCAGGACTTGCTTTTGCTGTAAACCACTCGCCGGGCCACCAAAGGGTTAAACACTTGCGGTTTCCTCCCCCCCCCTGTGCCGCATATAGTAATATTTTTCCAATTTCATGCCACATTTGCTGGCTTTCTGCCCGGCAAGGTGTTGATGTCCGTGGGAATTGCCAGCCATATGCCGCAAAAACTGAAAGAGGTCTCGGGTGCAAGAGCAACCCTCGCACAAATTAGCCTAATTCGGGGTCATGAAAATTAGGAAACGGCCGGCAAGTTAATTTTTATGTCTCGCAGGACTAATCCTTTGGCCATGTGTTATGGCCCTGTAATGAGCTCCCGGCACTTGACCAGCCAACCGGAGGAGTCGCATAAAAATCTCGGAAATCACATTGACATGTCCCAAGGAATGGCGCACGGAATGGAGTCCTGCAGCCAAAAACCCGAACTCATTAGTTTTCGGGACTGCAGATAAGACAAAAAGGGAAGCAGAAGGACTGAAACCACCCAGGCAGGCTTGTGTTTTTGCTGGTCCCAGTGTCCAGTGTCCAGACTAGATTTCCCCCCTTGTAGTTTTCCACTGCAATGACTTTGCCAGTAATTTGCCCGACTGTCAGCTCGAATTCCTTTCTTTTCCTTTCCTTGCCTTGCCTGCCATTGGGTCAGCCCACAAAAACCGGCCAAAAGGAGAGAGCCCGGCAGGTCCTGCGAGTCCTTGTCCGCCGGACAAGTTTGTTTCCTCAGATAATCTCTAATGCGACATTTTTACGAAATTGCACGATGCCCGGATAATGAGAAAAGAGCCGGAAAAGAGGAAAAGCGCACAGAGAAAGAGAGACGCTATGAAGTTTTCCCGACGAACTTCTGCAACGAGGTAATTGCTTTCGTACCAGGGAAAATGGGGATTGGGGATGGGAAGGGGAGAGGGAATGGCAATGTGTCGGTGATTGAGGGTTGTGTGGTTGTGGCTGGTTGCCATAATGACATTATAATTTATATAAACGAAATCAGTGCCAGCTAGCCGGAAAAGCAGAGATAGAGCTGAGCAGATGGATTGATAAATGGCAACTTTAACGGCAGTTACAGTGGTTCAACAACCAAGAAAATGGGTTTCAAGTGGTTTTAATAAGCATTCAAACGTAAAAACTATGAATTTAGATATTCCATCAGGGGTAATCATTTTTCTAAGTATTTTAAATAGTTTTTTATTATATTTTAAACACTTTAAAATAATAACAAATTATCCCATAGCTCTAACAACATATGACTAAAATATCCTTAAACAATTATAATATATAAAATGCATCTAAAAATATCTTCTATTTCTCTTTTCTCTCACCCTCTGAACCACTGTGCACTTTCTGATTATCCTGACCGGTCAGCAAGTGCAATTTATGTGACATTCTGTGGTCCTGGCAGTGGCAATTCAACTGCAATCTTTGTTTTTGCCTAGAGCCAATGACATATGTGAGCAATTTCGTAGAGATTTGCGGACAATGCACTGCCAAACATCCCGCAGGATGTGAGCCTTTAAGGCTTTAAGAGAGCAAAGCGTGAAGCGTGGAAAAAATCGATAAAAGGTATTTATATTCATAAAGACCCGGCCTGACAAATGCGGGCATTGGTGTGGAATTTAAAGTAGCCCAAAGGACTCCTCCTCCTCCTTCTGCTTTATATTTTCGTGTGTATCCCCCGAGTGGGTATGGGGGCACCTTGTCTGGGGCCCTTGCTCTGTTTATGTTGTTCTGCTGTGTGTTTTCTTAGAGCCCGGCTAGCTGCACGTGCCATTAACACTTAGGAGGGAAAGATGGGAGTATTTTAGCTCCGTGTAGACACAACAGATAACGCGCGATTTCACCAGAACACCGAACGCCGAAACTGAAGCACTCTAGTAATTTCATAATTTTATCAACGGCATCAGCCACAAACATTGTCATGAGCAAATAGTTCTCAATCTCGTATCTGTGGCAACAACTTGGCAAACAATCCAGAGACTAGCTGGCAATAAAAAAAAAGGAAAAAAGCCAGAGACAAAAAAGAGAAATAGAAACAACATTTATTATTTGCCGAGCAACCAAAAACCTAAATGTAAACTGCTCTGATTTGGTTTCTATTTCCATTTGGCTTCGTTTTCGGTTTTGGTTTCGGTTTCAGTTTCATTTTCGGGTTCTGTTTGGCTTTGGCAAATAGATGCCAGTGGATATGTGGATATGGTCACTGATATAGCGAGATAATTCCCTAATTGCCGCTATGCCTAGGTGGTGAAATATGAAAAACGAGAAATTGGGGAAAAGGCAGGGTGCAAGGTCGGTTTCCCAGCTGCTGACAACATAATTTAGAAGACAATCCGGAGCCATTAAAGAGTTGAACAGCCGAAACTAATAAAAATCTCTGCCGTCGGTCTAAATTAGTGTAAAACGTGAACTTGAAATCCTTTGAGCACCGTCAGCGAAATAAAAACACGCACCGAAGCCATAAAATGATCTCTCCACCGAAAATAAAACGAAAGAGTCCAAACTAAAAGGCGACCATAAAAAAGTGCAATCGTAAAAAATTATTACCTCCACATCGCACACATATAAAATATAAACGTAAATAAATATCCACCAGGGAACGAGGGGTGTGGGGCGTGGGTGTTGACCATTAAATTGGCCAATAATTGAAAATCCAATTGCAGTGTGGCACTGCAATCGGCGAGTCTGGCGGAGTCTGATGGAAATCCTGGAATCACGTTGCGTGGCCATTATTTAAACAAGAGCGTAAACAATAACGACAACAGCTGAACAGGAGGGAAAATCGGGTAAAACAGGAGTGGAAATTTGTGGCCGAAATGCTCCTGCACCTGCAGCAGTGTGTGGGTCTGTGTCAAAGGATAACTGCACTCGTGCATATTTTAAATGCGAACCGTTTTCGTGCTAAATTGTTTTGGCACGCAAATAAACGGCAGGACATCTGTGGCCAGGAGTTCACCACAGTTTAGTTTGGCTCTTTGGGGCCTTCCTTCCACCTGCAGACAGGTGCACACAGACATACAGAGAACTCCAGTTGCAGAGGCCGTTAACCCCCGGGGGCAGGGTCACCGGGGTTGACAGGGCGACAGCCAACAAATCTCTAGGCGAGGGCAGACAAATCTGTTATGCAAATGGAAATTTCGGAGCCAGAAGAAACCTCTGCGGAGGAACTCAAACTTTTTGGGGTCGTCACGAATAAAAAATATTAATAAAATGTTCATCATAAATATTTCAGGAGTTTTTTTGAATTTAAGAAGAGGTCTTTTGTATTTTTTTTATTTTTTTTAAAGAAACCTCCCCTTTCTGTCATTAAATTTACTAAAATAACTGTACAAGTTACAGTCAAACCTTTAATAGGTTTTATAGAAGTTTGTTTTTAAAATTTAATATTCAAAAATTATAATTTTCTGTACTATTTTTTAGCGTAATCAAGTTGATAAATAAACCAATTCGATTTATAAATATAAACCTTAAAAAATATATATTTTAAGGCCTCCAAGCTTTACCTTTAACAGGTTCCCTGACCATCTGCAGAGACCTCACCACTACCCAAAATCTCTCCCAGAACCAATTGGCTTGTCACATCGCCACTTGAGTCTGCGGAATTGCCTCACAGCCCGAGATCTTCCAACATCCTCTAAAGCGTCGCCCTGCGTCCAAACTCCCATAACAATTAGAGCAATCGGAACAACAAACACTTGACTCCAGAGCACATATCAAATATCCAGCATCACAGGGGATACAATACACTCTCTATATATGGTATAATAATACTTGTAAGGGAAGTGGCAGATCCGGGGGTAGCGTGTTGCTTTCGGCACTACGCCAGAAGGGTGCTCAATTAGCCGTGACATGCGCACAAAATTAAAATTTGTTTAGTTGTATCTCCAATCCGCTTTTCCACCCAACTCCTCCTTTTTTTTCTTTTGGCCTTTGTAACGCTTTTGTGGAGATTATACGCTAATGATTGCACAATGATTATGAATATGCATGAGGGGAAGCCAGAGTCGGGAATCGGGTAAAGGGAGCATGGAATACGGAATACTGAATCCGGAACCCAGTGTTCGGGGGACTTTTGGCACGAAGCGTGAATGATGGCCAAAGCGAATCGCATATTGAAATGACAACAGCTGCCACTGACACAGGCAACAAAAAAAAAGAAAGGAAAACAAAAAAGACAAGCCCACAAAAGAGCCATGAATAGCAATGAGAATGCGGACACTTGTTGATGGCTCGGATCCGGATCGGAATAGGAATAGGAATAGGAATGGATCCCTCGAAGTGGCCCTCTTCCCGCCTGAGTTATGAGCCCACTAATTAGCTGTCAATGTGCGAGATGCCGCACACAAATTCAGCTACAAATTGCCCACGAAATTGTGCCCCATTATTGGACACGAAAATGCCGCTTCTGAACTCGAGAAAATAGTTTTTAAAAGAGAGCGGAACGAATGGGGAATCTTATTATAAAAAAAAGCTTTAAAGTTTAGCAGATAATCTAAAATTGTTCAAACTACGGAAAACATAACTTCTGTTAATTTAAATTGACTTAAATATTATCTTTCTTATTTTCTGTACTTCAAAATAAAGAGATACAAGTTCCTTCAATTAATTTTCTGAGCTCTACAGAGTTTCCAGAGTGTTTATAGGAAATAAATAATAAAAATAATTATCTGTTTTTAAAAATACCACCATTCAACCTCCATTATTCGATACTTACTTCTGAGTTTCTCGAGCGGCTCGTGCTTGGGCGTGTGCGGCGGCACCACGGCATGATGCGGATGCTGCGAGTAACCGCCGACACCCACACCCACCAGATCCTGCCCGGCGGCGGCCGTGTGATGCAGGTGGCTCAGACTGCTGATGGGCATCAAGCTGGATATGGCGGGTGAGATGCTGACCGAGGAGCTGGAATCGTGCAGGCTGTGATGGCTATGCAGGTGCTCCGTGCCGGAGGTGCTGCTTCCTCCTCCGTTGACCGTGGAACTGCCAGTGCTGCCGCTGCTTAGCGCAGTGCTTGTGGTTGTGGCACTTTCCGCCGATCCTGCCGAGCCAGCTCCATTGGCTGTTCCGGCACTGACCAAATCCTGCAGACACAGGCCCGTAGACTCAGCCGACATGGCCTCCAGGCCATTGAGGGCTCCACCACTGACCACGCCACCGCCTCCATTGGCTATACCGCCGGGACCGAGGGCCGTGGCCGAGCTAGTGACCACGCCAACGCCCAGACCGCCGCCCCCCGCCGCACCACAACCGCCGGCGGCGGTGCGGTCCATGCCTAAATACGTGGGGAAAATGGTGGAGAAGCTCTGGGCGACAGCCTGGTGCGGCTGATGGCCGTGACTATGGTTATGACTGTGGCTGTACTGCTGGTGCGCCGGATGCGCCGGATGGGCGGGATGCAGCGGCGGCAGGTGGTGGTCCCTCCCCGTGAACTTCGTCGTGACGACGTCCTTGAAGTGCTGCAGGAAGGTCGTCGTCTTGAGGCCGGTATCTTCCAACTGCGGTGAGAGCAAATCCAAGATGCAGCCGTTGCCAGAGCTCGGAAAGCTGAAAAGGAAGAGAGTAAGGAAAGCTTTAATAATGGGGAAAAGGTTCACATTTAATAAAATTTAATAACTAAAAGTCTTGTAGGGTAAAGATTGATAGAGATATTAGGAATTATATATTATATATATTTATGGAACTAATATATAATTGTTATGACTTCCAAACTACTCAAGAAGCTCTAAGCACCAAAAGTGTATGAATTAAATAATCCATTTAGCTAGACTGTTTAAATATTTCCTAAGGCTCTATTGTTTGCTAGTTTTCAGATGTTGTCTAGTAGTGAAATTACTCATAACGAGTTCATTCCTACCTGGCACTACGTACTCCGCCCGTTAGTTAATTATAATTATCATTCGGCTACTTGGCAAGGCGGAGGCAAATCAACTTGTGGAGCTTTTTATCGCCTCAACGGCAAAGGCAAACAGTGAGCTTAACCCAAACACCAGCCGAATGGCAAGTTAACACCAAACACGTCAAGGGGTTAAGACCGTGCCTCTCGGATGCTGGTAGCTCGAGTAACTCTCGAGGGGAAGGGACTCGGTACATGGACTGGACGTCGTAAATTCTGCCGGGGAATCGGATGGGGTGTACGAGTTGACAACGCCGCTATCAGCAGACCGAGGGGAGAACGGTGATAACGGCCTTATCGATGTAAAATATTTACATTTCTGCGAGCATTTCTCTCCGCTATTATTGCCATTATTATTGCGCTGAGCCTACACTGAGAGATTTTTGGCAATACCCAGCTCAAAGCACAGTGAAAGGGTAAGAGACAGAGTAGACTTGCACTCTATAAAGGCGATAAACTGTGTCAGGGCGTCCAATAAATTCGTTAAAAATAAAAAAACAGCCCACTGACAGTAGCACGAAAATAGCCATAAACGATCGTAAATCAATTAGCCAAAAGGGAGGGAACACCTCGCCATATTCCAGCGCCCCTCGCCCGATATCGGGGGACCTCTCCAGCTATATATACAACTCTCTATATACTATATGGCGTGCTATCTCAGCCAGCAAGCGAGGCAAACGAAATGAAACGAAACGAAGCGAAAGGTTGCAATAAATGGTTATCTAATCTCAATCACAACAAACTAAAGGCATTCAAAGGCGAAATGAGAACGAATTTCATAAATCTAACGGCAGCATAAATTCGCAGTTGAAGTGAATTTAATTAAATTTAATTGGAATGCTTTGGCTTGCCGTGTCACTTTCGATTTCGTTGATAATTCCGCTTGATCTCCACTTGATCCCCAGTGGATTAGTGCGGCTGTAATATTAAATCCATTTGCGGTTGTTCAACAACAATATGATAAACATAATTTCACTTGAAGCGAATATTTATGGGGGCGGACGCCGGGTGCCGAGTGCCCAGGAGGCGCTGTATGCCAGGAGATTGGGGGTCAGATGGCCGTTGAAATGAAAAGTTTCTGCATTTATTGCTTTGAGTATTTATAACACTGTTATTGCCTCGGTTATTTTGCTATTTGTTCTTCTTGTTGCCGCAGTTGTCTTCATTTCTGGCTAAATTATCTGCCGCAGTGTCTAATAAATAATTTGGTTCCCAGTTCAAAGTGCCAGCCGTCATTGCCATTGTCCCCACAAAAGATATTCTCCCAAATGTTGTTGTTGTCGTTGTCGTCGACGTCTTCGTCTCTGGCCGTCTATTTTCTGCCTCGTCATTTTATTTCAAAAGTGAGAATTTATTTACATAATGATTCTCTAAGACAAAGAATGCCAGAATTATTTTATGCCACTTTATGGCCGCACGGATCTCGCTGGCTTATACATACTTCTTCATCGCGGAGCAGCGAAGGTGGCAAGATTCCGATGTTGTGCCAAGGCTTTCTACATGTTTTCATTCCCATTTGATTTTATTATTTTTATTATTTTATACAAATTCGAGTTCGCAGCTCTGTGTACTTAGGTTTTTTCCATACCTTGTTTGCCCCAGCGGCCAGATCTAATTGTTTAGGTGACGTCAATGGGTCGGCGCCACTTCCCCCCGATTTTTGGCAACAGCAGTGACAATACTACTACAGTGCTGGCCCAAAAGCCCAGAGGCCCCCTTACGAGATGGGGCTCCGGCTCTATTTTACGGGCTTTATGGCCGCAATTTCGCGATTCCCGGGTCTCACTTCGCCATGATTTATGCGCGGCGTGAGAGCGCCTCGTATACTTAATTCGTTGTCCAACAATCGGTTTATTGGCGGGCTTGGAGATGGGAACCTTTTGGGATCTACGGTGATCTCTCCTGATCTTCCCTAGAAACCTACTATGTTTTCTCAGCAGGAGGGTAATTAAGGAATTGACATGACGATTAAGTTCCTAGGAAGGTGTTTACCGAGAAAGTTCTGTTTGCGATGACCTAACACTTCCTAATTTTGCTATGTTTTACTTTCTAATGAATCAATCAAATGCAGACACTACCAAAAGCATTTTTCGAATTCAAAACTCTTGTCATATCCTAATCCTTTTTCTTTTGTCAAATAATTTATTTCCTAAACCATCTAGTGTGTCTAATAAGATCAAAAACTGAATTCTTTGAATGCCTTGAGACTTTCAATGATATTTAAAACAAAAACTTGACATGCGTGTGTCGGAATATCTTAATGATGAATGGTAAATAATGCAGATAGATATTATTAATACTTGATTATACAATAAAAATATTATTAATTATTGTTTCAAATTCATGAAATTTCTTGGATAAGTACAAGCCTTTCTTAACCCTTACATTTCTTACTTGTTTTTAATTTAAAAGCATGGCAAACTTTCTCAAGGAATATATGTATATTCCTCACCTGATCTGAATATTAAATATAATAAACACAACTTAAAATTTAAATAACATTCTTACCTCTGAATGATGGGAGAGTAATTCAATTAATCCACTTAGGTGGTGGCCGTTCGATCGGCACTGGAACGTTGTTCCGTCGGCTCCTGCAATCCGTGATATATGATCAAAATATCGGATCCGGATGAACTTTGCTATTTGCGGATGGCGCTTTTCTGCGGGAGCAAAAGTCGTGGGCAAAGGAGGCAATAAATCAGATTGCCAGCATTTCAATCGCACGGAAATCTTTGAAAATCTTCGAAATCCCAGAGAAAATCTTCTGGAGAAGTCGCGTGGGCGGCGGCGGGGGCTATAAATCTCGGAAATCGGAATGGATCAGATCCGTCCGTCACCAGGCGTTTAGGTTTTTATGGGTTGTGTTTATATGTTTTTGTGTTTATGCCGTTGTCATTGCAACAGTTTGCTAATCAAAGGCGAAGCGGCATTTAATAAAGCCGTTTATAGTTTTCGCACTCGGTGGCAGATCAAATAATAAAAATCACAGTGATTATGTTAGTGATTAATTTTAAGTAACTCGGGGATATGTTTTTAATTCTCGACTCTCGCTCGCTGCCACACACAACACTCACACACACGCTGGACACTGGCACACAGAATCACCACACATAATCGCGCACTTTGATTGGCTTTGATTCGATTCGTTTCGATTTGATTTGATTTGAACTGTTGATTCAGTGTTTTAATAATTTAATCCGCCGCGTAATTAGGCTAAGTAGTCCAAGTCCTCTGTATCTGTATCTGTATCTGTATCTCTGGTCTTTCTGTATCGGATCTGGGAGTCTAAACGGAAGCGACGCGTCTGCACCCGTAACAGGACGTGGCTGGATTGAAAGCGAATGCGAGGGCGCTCGTTAAAGTATCTGTTGGACGCGAGCAGCGAGTGAACGAGAAGGGGCGGCTAACGGGACCCGGCGGTTCGGTTCCACGAGCGGAAGCGGGGTTGGTTAACGGTGAACTACTACTCAGTACGTGGTGCTGGCGACGAGAACTCGCGGCTACTAAAATCGGAACGCAGAACGCTGAAGGCAGAATGCAGAACGTGCTACGTTCAGCGCTATCTTATCTCTCTTTTCACGAGGGTGTCTGTGTGCGCGGGTGTGAATGAGATGATGGCTCGGCGAGTAGCGAGTAACGGGGCCCGCACCGCACTAGGCTGTGCGAGTGAGAGGCGAGGTCTGGGCAAGCAGCAGCGAATGAGGACACACCCCCAAAGGCGAGCTGCGAGCGCTCTCTCTCACTCACACTCTGCGTGTGTTTGCAGTGCGCCATTGCTGCGCACTGCTCTCGCTCTCTGTCCCACTGTATCTCCTTGTCCCTCTCTCTCTCTCTGGCTTCGCTGCCTCTTTCCCCGCCCTGCGCCCCCATCAGTCACTGTTTATTATTTGGCCGCTCTCGAGGGTTTGATTTGTACTTTGCGGGTCCTTTGTGTGTGCCTCCTTGTGAGCCAACCCCCTTCTTCTGGCAACCCCCCCTGCAACCACCGCCCCTGTACAATTGCTACGTGCTGTGTTCATAATAATAAGGCTACTTCTCCTTTGCGCCCACTTTTTGAGGGCTGGCTGCTGCCGCCCTCCGCCCTTCGCCCCCCGCCTGCTGCCTGTCTTTTTACTGGGTGTCAAGGGCGTTTTGTTATCCCATTATTCTGCGTTAGCCCGCCATTGTTGTGCGCCCCTCGCTGCCCGCTCTGCAAATAAATAAATAACTGCTCCTTTTGACGTATTCCCGTATTCGTCGGCCCTTTGTATCCGTATCTTTGTATCTCGCAGTGCGTTCGCATCTCCTGCCCGTGACTTCCCCCTTTTTGATTTGTTCGCTCTGCCACACAGTCACATCTACAGTCACATTCAGGCCACAGAGAGATATAGAAACAGAAACAGATACTTTGCCGGAGGC